GCGCAAGTCGCGCACTGTCGTGCTAGCCCTATTGGTATAATAAAGACAAATGTGATCTTACGTGAAAATTAAGTATGTGATTTTTTTAACTCTCTGTTTAAGGATAAAAAGTTATCGACTAACGTTAACGATTACACTGAACGCCAACTGAGTAGCTACATATCGATACGATTATGGTGACGAGCGATCGAATGAAGGAATCGTCTATATAGAGGCCTTAAGGAACGGAAAAAAAGAGTCGTGGAAGTCGAGAAGAGAAGCCCTTGCCCAGCAGAGGGTCATAATAATAGACTAGTAGATGATAAACAGTACGTAATTCTTTTTAATATCAGCTTCAAACCGCTGTGATTGTTTTATGAAATAAGAGAATTATCAGAATTTAAACACTTAAATATTTAAACTATCAGTACCTCAGTTTAATTTGCGGTGTCTGCTATTACTGCAATCGTATTGTGATGAGAAAACTGTGACCGCAAAGGTTTAATTTTCTCATTGTAGACTCGTTTTCTGATTTGATGCTTTTTAACTCGCTTAGATAAAACTTGAACACCAATTACTAAATACTTTCCAAAACAGAAAATAACATACATACATCTACATCATGGACCAATGACTCAAAGATAATGGCTACACTAGGGTAACCTATCACAAACTCGAATTTCTTTTTTCCGAAATAACGTTTGTTCGAATTTTCTTTACCCCAAAAACCGAATTATAACGAAACCGTTGTCCATCAAGAAACAGAAACAATAGTAAAGAAAAGGGGCCAAAAACAATTACATTTAAATTTAGAATTTAAACATAAAACTAAAACTTAAAGAGACCATAAAATATATGCGAAAGAGATTTGTAGCGACTGCTGCGATTCGGTACAATATATATGATAAAACATAATGATATTCAGTACTTAAATATTGCAATATATTTACAACCTGTCAAAATTCTTAGTTGGAAATAGTACACTTCATCAAAGCTTCATAGTAAAAAATAGTGCTAAAAAAGAACGTCACAGAAAAAAACATCGTGAAACTAATGAAATGAAAAATTTAATAGTGATTTTTGTGCGCAGTGACACACAGTAGTCGAGGCCACCGCTCACTACGCCGGCGCCGGCGGTTCGTCGACCGATTGATTTTCTCGAATGTACTGAGAATTTGCTGTAGATATTTAGTATTATTTAATTTAATAGAAACAGTATAAAACATTTTTTTTGGCTTTAAAAATTCGTGTAAAAGCTTGTTGCTTGGAGACATAGCTAGAATGTGTAAACCAGAATAATTCGATAAGAATGAAACTGCTTATAAAAGCAGTTTCATGTATACGTATTAATTCAATTCCGAATTTATCTATACATGAAGTTCGATCATAATTATAAAGTTACGATCGAACTTCACGTATACATAAATTCGAGCACTGTAAGGGTGCTGGTGAAATTACAAGCACACGGGACTTTTCAACTTATGTCTCAGTGTGACGGGCGCAGTGGTAGTGCCAGGCGCACGACATGTTCGTCCCGTTCGTCGTTGTATTGTAAAATAAAAGAAATTCGTTTGATCATCAAATATAACATATTATAACTTTTTGAAATCCCGCAATAGTATAATATATTACGACTAAAATGATAACGTGTAGAAAATATAATCATAACTATTTTTAGTCACTTATTTTCTCTCTTAAGACGATTCCCATGATCAGTAGTGGAGTGTAAATATGTTGATTCGGTACTTTGACATTTTCTTACGTAGAAAATAAAGATAAGTTTGTATCGAGTTCTTATATATCTCTATGTTTCATCGCGATTCCGATATATATATATAATATTATATCTCTCGAAAATGATATTTTCGGATCGACACCGCATATATTTGTTTCGGAGCCATCGGTAACCAGGGGACCTTGAAACATTGATTCGTTTGAATAGACATATACGATTTATATCCAAAATTTATATTTGGTCGCTAAAAAAATGAAAAAAATAAATATAAGAATCCATACCAATACAAATAATTATAACAAAACCTATAAGGTAAATTTTGCTAGATCAACGCCTTGTTCCGTAAAATGTATTAAACATTAAAATCGTCAACAAGCATAATAATTCTTTTTTCCGAAGGCTTTGAAGGCGAACGTCTATATTTATTTGTATTTTGGAATTTCCGTTACTGCGTGTAATTACTGCAAATTATTTACAAGAAATAACACTAAGTAAATTGATTCTAATTTTTAAACAGGACAGAACTTAGTGACACCTTATCATTGATTAATGAAAATGTGTATCGAATTACGCATTTCCATTAAAAATATTTAAACTTTATTCACGATTTCTGTAGGTAGTCGTGATTCGAACGTTCATTTTAAAAAGACCAAAAATATAAACAAATATGGCCGACGGTCAGCAAAATATCAGGTTTGCCCCTGGTCATTCATTTATATAAAACCAATAACTTTGTTGTAATTTTACATCCAAGAAGTTTTGAAGGGTTCTGTGATGATAGTCAACGTTTTTACTTACGAAATAACAAAAGGGTTTATTGTCTTTGTATACTGTTATAAAAACAAACATCAGTATGCGGGTGAAGGTATATCAAGTACATAAAGTATAAGATTATTGGAGTATATTGGATAAATAATAATTAATCTCCCTTTATATAGAAGTAGATAGACCATAATAGACTTTAAAAAAAATCTTACCTTAAAAATACTTATAGTATTGAACAATAGATTCATCAAAACGTATGGATTTAGTACCTCGATGTATGGATGCGAGACCTGGACAATTACAGAAAAAGGGAGAGATTAAAGTCTTTTAAAATATGATGCGAAAGAAAATAACAAACGAAGACTTCTAAAAACAGTTAGGGAAAAGATGTGGTGTATGGATGCGAGATTATAGAATTTTAAAACAATGACGTTGGAAAATGTTTGGACATCAGTTACGTAACGACGAATTTATAAAAGTTATAATTGAGGAAAAGATAGAAATAAAGTATATAATAATAAAGATAGAGAGAAAAATAGCATTTTTGAAACAAATAAAAAAGAAGGTCGAAGTAAGCAAGTATTAAGAGGTCAAGCAGCTAGTTATGGATCGTGAGGAATGGAGGAGGCTCTACCTATAAGAGCACAGCTTTTAAATAGGATGATAATGAACTTATTAAACATACTTTACATAACCTACAAATCCACAATACATCTTACATCATTACTTCTAATGTCAAGTACATAAATAAAATGTCATTGTTAAATTCTACGTGTACCATGGAACATTGTATTGGTGATAATTCGACGTAAATCGTGTAATAATAATACGTGATACCTTACGTGACTTCGCAACTGCATATTAAGTTTCAATAAGTATATATTCAGTGTGACCTCTCAAGTGATACTTCTATGTAAAGAAATGTGGGTCAAGTTTTAGTTTAATAAGTGAAATAGCTGACATTTGTACCTAGGAATTGCTGATGACTACATAAATGCAAATTTATTATAAATGGTAGTACATAACTTGGTGATAGATACTGAGACTCAAATATAGAAAGATAGGAAAGTCTAAACGAAAGAGTTATGATAAAAATGGAGAACTGTTTAGAAACAAGAGGTATTGCTATTTAAATGAAGATGAAGAAGATCCTAGACGTAATAAGAGAAAACATGAATACAAACACAATATATACAACTTAGAGACTTGAAATTGCCGTGATAGAAATACTTACATTAAAATGCATAGAAAACGCATATATATACAGTTCTCTGTGAACCATTATATGATTGATAAATTACAATGAAAGGTGGAAGTAATTTCAATTGAAACAAATCACGCAAAAGCAATCCTTTCATTTCGATATACAGAATAAACTGTCTAAACGATTTCCACCACAAATACAAAATCAGAATGAAAAACACCAACATTATAAGTCAACTTTCGACAAGAGTTGAAGTAAAAACACCATGAATAGCAACTATATTCTAGTGTTGATATCAACTAAAGAAATTGTCGACAATATTTTCAAATATAAACTTTTTTTATTGCGTTATTTTTCTATAAAGCCTTGAAAGTGATCTTCCAAATTGGAAGCTACCTCTCATATAATGACAAAATGAGATTTTATATTTCTAAGTTGCAGGTTACTATTTTTTACCACCAATATCTGTTTAGAGCATTTATAATCTGTCGCGTACTTACTGTAACTCTTGGCCAACCAACAATCTTTACACTTATTTTTTATAACAAAAAAAAGAAATCGATAGAACTACGATAAAAGAATAGAAGATTGAACACTACAAGAAACGGCATATCCACAAAGGCAATAGAAATCTCTAATCTGTAAGCATTGCATGTTTTAGGATTCATCATGAATGTCAATGCCGTCGTCGAGGTTCTCAGGCCACTGCCAAGGAGAGATTTTGTGAACAATATTTCCAACGTTTCTCACTAGCAATACTAATGCAGGACAAATTCCAATGTTGTCATTCTGCAACTTGGTCACATGATAACCAAAATCTTATGACTTGGCGTAATTTATGATTATAGCTTTGTGTTTTACGTTTTCATCAGTTGTATTTTCTTTTTTCTATTTCCTGTGTTTATTAACTCTTTTTAGAAAACTATTTTAGTTTCCTTTCTATTGTGATGTGCTTAATATTAAGTTAATTTCGGCTAACGAACGTTGACTGCTATCTTCTTTACATCTGTTCTAAGCGGTAAGGTTCTTAATGTTGAATTAAAAATTATTTCTATTTTCTTTCTACGCCACTCCACTAGGATATAAAAGTATACAAACAAAGTGACATATCTGAATATAAATCCAACTAAATAATTCTTAAAATTTTTAATGCAATGTAAACAATGGAATAATATTTTTTATACGTCTACATTTTCTTGGCGCCAATCCACTCTATTCGAAAATCAAAACGATGGTTCGTGATTTGAATAGTACAACCACTTACTTTGAATAGGTAATATTGTTTTTTTATTGATTTTGTTTTTTTTTTCTTTGCAGAATCGGCTTATGCGGATTCGACAACCCACACAGAGATCCGAAGACAGATGAATTAAAGAGACACATAGGACAGGTAAATTGCACGTAACTAGCATTAGTATTTATTTTATTTATTTCGTTCCGTCACTTGATATTATAAAAAAAGTATTGAAATACACCGGTAATTAATAAAAATTAAAAAATAAGAATTAAAGGTGCTGTTGAAGAGTACGGGGAAATCAACCTTAACGTAAAGAAATTCAAGAATATATTACAGAAAAACTGAAGTAGGCAAAAAACAGACCCCGTGCACAATTGATACACTGAACATGCAGATCAATAAAAAAATACAATATCAAAGAGTATTTGCAACTGCCCAGTCCAGTTTGTAACAAAAGCCTTGTAATTTAATGTTTTATTTTAAGATTTAAAAAAATCCAATTTTGTGAAAAAGCAACATCTTAATAAATAATCCAAATAACTCATTAAAGTGTAACAAAAATAAGGTAGACGATTATTAAACTCAAAAAGGGGGTGATGGATATTGTAGACGAACGAATAATAATATATATATAAACGATATTGTATTTGAATGTAAACGATAACGTATACTCAAATACCCATTGCGGATTGAGATTCTTAACCTGCGCAAAGATAAAATATCCAAATCGTGAGTTAGGTAGCACCAAAAACAGATATGAGCTCACTAACAAATATGCAATCAAGAATTAGCCAAATAAGTCTATTAGAACAGAGGTACTGATTTTTTTGTGACGTTACCAAATCATCGATGACGTAACGGTGATTAAGAGATGACCATTAAAAAAAATTAAGATTCGTGCACGCCCACACTCGTAGTATCGCCTGACCATTACAGTAAAGCAATTTAGGCATGAGACCTCAAAACAAATGATTTTTTTCAACTGAATGACACCACGGAAATGATTGAAGTTAATGGAATAGTTACAATTATTTCATTCTGTTTTGTTTATCAAGTAATGTTTGTCATCTTCGAAATAAATTTAAGTGGAATATTAAACGATTAAATTAATGCGACAACCCAGAAAGGAAAAAATCGTTAAGTGGATCTAATGAATTTACATTTTTTCTATTCGAACAAAGTTACTTAAGCTTGTAGTGTACTTTTATTACAAAAGCAATGCCATTCAAGATATGATATGGAACAATCAAAAGCTCTTTAGTCAAATCTTAGTAGACTTATTTTTTCTGCACATAATCTGTTCGACAACATCTTTTATCTAAATACCTACATTCGTACCAATAAATCACAATGTAACCATTTCATAGGTAAACGATAATGGTAAAACGATGATAACTCTTGTGGATAATTTAGATCATATCTCCATGCTTCTGAGAATTTAGATCAGTCTCATTTTAATTACTACTGAAACATCTAATTATTTTTCTTCTTCGCCTGTGAAGAAAAAAACTATTCGCGCCATTTATATAGCATCTGATTATTTTTCTCTGATCTGATAGTTTTTAAATATTTTTATTACACATACACTGTGTATTTTTATTTACTAAACCAGACGGTATATAAATGACGCAAACAATTTTTTTTTCTTCATCGTGTAAAGTTGTCACAATTGAGAGAGTACCGGTTGCCAGTTCACAGTCGATATTCAGAGAGGTTAACTTGACCTTACCTAATCCACTTATTCAAGTTAAAGGTTATGTGTTTTGTAGGCGTTAATTGGTTTGGTAATAATTTGGTAGAACTATTCGTGTGGGTGGAGTCGAAATTAAAAAGTATAATCAAAGCAGTACAGAGCGACATTTCCTGATTTGTTTGTACATATTAAATAAATTAATAAAAATAAGTTTAAAGTCATTAACGCATAAAACACTTGTTGAAATATCACTTATACTAGGCAACGAAACTGTGAAAAAAGAAAAAGATGTGAAATCATTTAAAAAGATAGGTTAGACACATCTAACGTTAATTAATATACAAAACATACCCTACACCCTAATTTATACATAAAAAGATTAAACAATACAACGGATTACTTGTACAGGAACCATAAAATACGAAATTTCATTTACACTAGGCAACGAAATCGTGGAAAAGGAAAAATAAGACATGATGTCATTTAAAAAGATATATAATATGCTTACCTCGAAAGTTAATTAATATATAAAATATACGTAATAGTCTAATTTATAATAATTAAAAAGTTCAAACATTACAATGGTATCACTTGTACAGGAAGCAGAACAACAAGATACAAGTTACAAAATCAAGCATGTATCCATTGTAGTCGGAAACAAACAGACAATAGACAGTTTTGACATTCAACTGAGATGCTAACGAGCCGTCTAATACAAGGCCAAAGTGCGAATGCGAATGCGAATCGGGCCTAACGAAAGGACAAATGAAATCAGGCCTTACGTAAAAAGGAGTCGTAGGATTATAGAAGCATTATTCCGTAGTAAATGTATGTATAGAAAATGACATAGAAGAAGTTAAATGAATTGTTAACAATAAACGTACTTTTAATGCATAGGAAACACAAAATACAAACGTAAACGTAACTGCTACCAAGCAATAATATGAGCAGCACTGCGCTCCGGTTTAGAAGGATAAGGGTGCTGGTAAAATTAGTAATTTTTCAAATTTAAGGGATTTGTCAATTTATGTCTCAGAGTCACGGGCGCAATGGCAGTGCCCCTAAGATATTTACGATTTAAAGCTCTGAGTGGCACTGCAACTGTTATGGATAAACATGTCGCTTACCACCAGGTGCACAACTGTTCGTCCCGTCACTTGGTATTAAAAAAAAGTAATACAAAATTAAAAAAAAAAGTCTTTTGTTAAAATTATCATATCATCGCTTAAGAAACAAAATAGAGTTGTGTCTATTAAACATTGACACAATAGACAAAAATAAATCGAACGCGAACTGTTTCCCTTATTGTGGTGAATGGATAAAAAGCGCTATTTGATGATCCTACTTTCAGTTGATGATACGCGTTATATACTAGTCGTTTGTTTTGATTTTGAAAGATGTATGTCAGGATCGTAGCAAATGGAAAGCTGAAATCTCTGCTTTCTATAATGGGAAGTGGGCGTGAAATGTGTTTATTTATCGCTACTTTTCAGGAATGCTAAAATGCTAAATTTTATTTGTGGTTGTTAACCATATTCCTGATTAAATAGATGCTTTTGAGATTGGCCACTATTCTACAAAGCCATTGATATGTATAGTGACGTGTATATTATATAGTGACGTGCAGCAACATTTATGAATTCGGTTTTGAAAGTATTCGCGAAAACCCTAAATTTTTCCATATCCCTGTCTCTATTGCGTTGTCTGCCAAATTTTTACCACCTTATTTTTGTAAAAAGCCATTTGATTTATATTTTTATTACTATTATCTCTGTCGTATGTACTCGATGATCATATTTAATCAAATGATTTTTCATACGATCAATCTCAAGAAAATATTCAAGATTAGGTACCATTAAAAGTTTCGTCTTCTGCTTTATAAATCACACAGAATTTACAAATATATGGGGAACATGGGAAAAATTAATAGCTTTTAGATTTTGACAACACATAAATTGAACATTTATTTTTATAGAACAAATGTTAGCAAAGTTTAAAATTTTATTTAAAATTTAGGGACAGCCCAGTGTCGGCAAAAACTTTATTGACCCATATATGATTTTTCGTAATTTTAAGTAGACAAAAACACCAATTTTCGATGCTTAGTAAAGATGGACCTGAACGAATATTTAATGGGATGCCTTTAAACATCAGCGCGGATACTATAGAGTTTTTACGGTTGTAAATAAATTACATATGATTCTTCCGTATCGCTAGCAAAATTTAGCGAATAGTCATTTCAACATGCATACTGACTATCATTAATCATTATTATATTCTATTGTGTCTGTTTATTGGTTGTCCGTTGATTAGCTGATTCTTATAAGCTTTCCTATCTCATATTTCAGTATCTTTATCTATTTCCGCGGCCAAGCAGTAATGTGAGCATTACTGCGTTTCAGTTTAGAAGGGTAAGGGTGCTGGTGAAATGACAGGCACATGGGACTTGTTAACTTAAGTCTCAGTGTGACGGGCGCAATGGCAGTGCCCATAAGATCTTTGCGATTTAAAATTCTGAATGGCGCTGCAACTGTTGTGAATAGGCGAGTCGCTTACCACCAGGCGCACAGCTTGTTCGTCCCGCCACTTGGTACCATAAAAAATAAAACAAAATCTATTTCCCAAAATAAAATATTTTCTAAAAACTCAAATTTATAAAATTCATTGTTAGGTGCAAATGTTGCTGTTTGAAATCGGACATTAAAAACAAATCTTCCATTGTTGAGCATTGTAAATATCATTTGTTTTTGCTTCTTACGCTAAAGAATTTTAATGATAAATTCATTGAATCATTAGTACTATTGACAAACGTATTTTTTGTTCTCTATTTGTACACATCAACTGCAACGTAAATAAATAAAGGCCGGGAGCTTAATGAGAATAATACGAGAAAATTTTATTACCCGTATCTAATATTAGTTCTTGGATCAAAGCGTGCGTTCAAATGTTTTATGATTTATGAACTAGAGGTCACTTGCCTGCGCACGCTCTGGTTCCAATTTTGAAAGGGTTTATATTGTAATTCGATATGGCTTGTGTTTTATTTCGTGATTTGAATGCGAACAACTTTACAGTGATTGCAGAGACATTTCAAATACTATAAGTTTATAACACTGTACCAATACTTGAAAAATCATACAATAATGACTTTCCGTTTCTATTTTTAATTTATCATTCAATTACAATGTGCAAATAACATTCTCGAAAACGTTTTATGAGGCTAGTTCGTGTAATGATAGAAAGCCGTTTGTCTCTGAACTAGTACTAGAACTTTAGTACCGTAAGCCGAAAATCTAACCAGTACACGTGTACTTATGTTGTCCAATGTTGGCCAACTCGATGAATTCATTATGCACGCGCGGGCGCCGCTCAGGCATTCAAGACTGACGTGCGACTGGGCCGGGTTTCGTCAACGCTTGCTACACTTCCCACTGCCGGCAATATCTGTTACTATCCGCCTTTGTAATTAGAAACTGTTTACATATTGTTGGGTAGGAACAAAAGGCGAATTAGGAGATTTATCTTTCTATCCGTAATATTATACGTGTATATTTATAGAATCTTTATTTCATTTAGTTGCTATGAGACGTAGCGGGTGTACCTCAAGGTGCATTCTAAGGACCTAAACTTTATAAAATCTCTTATCCGAATCATGTCCCACTGCATCAAGCATTCAGAAATATTGCAAAATATTCTCCCGGACAAAATACGAGGCACCTCGCATTTTTGGAATACAAAAATATTGTTTTCATCGAAGAAAAGATTTTCCCCATTTTGTAAATCCAAATTCTCAACAAGGATTTATGGAAAAGACGTTTAGTATACTAGTTTCAATATTGCTATATAAATTAAAAAAAATAAATTGCTATAATGGTTTTTGATCAATCAAACATTGTTTAAGCTACTACGCAGTTTCAGCTTAGGGTACTTCAGTACCCTAAGCTGAAACTGCGTAGTGCCTGAAAATGCGTAGTGGCTCGAATTATGTGTACTATATAATATAAAATAATGAAAAGTAAATCCAATATACTTATCGATTTTGCTGTCAAAACTTATTATTATCCTATATATTTCATTACGTGGCCAAGTTACCACATTTCCTAAGCAATACCCACTACCGGGAATGTAGGCAATTAAAGCGAGCCAGGATACATGTCATAACAATAATTAACGCCATCAAGACGCAGTTAACTAAACAGGTAACACTTTTGAAATGATTACTTTAATTATTGATGGAAATGTTAACCAGCTTTTCCTTTCAGTATTTATAGGTCATAAATCCAAAATGATAGTCGATATCAAAAGAGCTGTTCTATATTTATAATTGAAAAATTATACAAAGATTGCAACGTAACCTATATTTAACTTACATAGAGGATGAGGATCTCCAAAACTATCCGTAAGGGTAGTTGTTAATGACTATGGTAGAATTAGTTGAAATGACAAGAATTTTTTATCAAGCAACCACCAAAATGAGATTAGTAGTTCATAAAAATAAAGACAATTTGAAAGTTAATTGCGACTAATGGATTTCCAACCAGATAAAATATAAGACACTAACGAATAAGGAAATATCTCCACCAAAACACATTCGTCAAACTGAATACCAACAGATTTATCAGATCAAACGCTACAGTGTGTATGCAACATTTGCTTTCTAAAGGACAAGGTTGCACAGTCAAAGGTTACCTGTCATTGCTATAGTCTCGTTCAAACGTATTATTACTACCTACCCTTGTTATTAAAAGTCTCAGGAACTGATAATTCGATAGAACAAGCAATAAAAAATAGCTTGTTGTAATTGGATAATGCTTTGCCTATAACTAGAATGGACAACAAGATTAATACTAAAGTTTTTACGGTCTCCAAATTGTACCGCGTCATCCATGATCTCAATCTTCATTTAGTCATTATTTGTGCCATCTTCCGCGTTTTATACAAATATTAATTTAATTCTTAAAATTTAAATTTCCGTAACAATGGCTCCGTTTTGATATGCACCAGCGATATAAAGGCTGCTGATGTCATAGTTCAAATGCTTATTGGAACCTATTCTATTGTTGTACTCTATAACATGTCATAAATCATAAGATGGATGGTGTTAAAATAATAAAAACTGTAACGTCTTGAGCCATTGACCTTGTATCTGTTGATCATAAGATAAGAGCATCAATCATGACGTCACCAGTAACCGTTTTTGTGTTGAAGACAAATGCCCAATGTTTTTGTACTAAAGGTGATTGTCCGAGTGTTCAATTTGTAAATTAAAATGTAAATTTCATTGTTTGCATTTGAAGATAATGTTGATACTAAACACAATCATACACCAAAATGTAAACGAGATTGTAAAGTTGAATCAATGGAAACGGTACTTACAAGAATTTCAATTTAGTCTATTGACTTTTACATTTAAAGGTGAATGGATTATAATAATACATTCCGAAAAGACAAATAGTAATAAATATTATAACATTTTAGATTTTTGCCCAGATAATACCTTAGACAGCGAAAGATGATGTCGTTTTTCTTAACGGAATATGTATTTTATTGTTTTAGGGCGTCAAAATAAAAATGGACGATGCCGGCAATATACTCATCAGGCGCTATTCCAAGAGTAGCGTGTTTGTGAAGAGTACAGCAGCGACTAGCAACGAGGAAACGGCGATAGGACAGGACATAATGAAGCTGCCGGGATACTCGTTGGAACAGGAGAAAATATTCAAGGTAAGAGAATTCCTACGACTGTTGTTATCCTTTAACATCAACTGATGTAACCTACATCTGTAGACACGTAGAAACTATATGAGTTTTAAGATAAATCTATCTTCAAACTCATATAGTTTCTTTAGATTAGAGTCTAATTAGAGTCTAGAGATTGAGTACATTCCATATGAATCTAAACACTTCGAAAATAATGTGTTATGAACTTGTTAAGTTAAAAAGTTCTAATTTTGTGTTAAATTTTATTGAATCAGATTCAGCAACATTTAGTATTATAGAAAGCAATTATGTATATTCAGTGTGTAATTTGTCACAGATTACCATGTTCGGTAGTCAAATTTCAATAGATGCATCTAATTATACAAATTATAACAATCTGCATTTACCCTTCTTCTTCCAATTGCAGTCTCTTTACTTAACCATTGCCTTCCAAGAAGTTAAGTTCATTCGATTCTAATCCCTGTTCTGTTCTGTATAAGGGCTTGTTAGGTAATAAATTAGAAGATCGTGCTAGTAGTTTTCTGAAAGCAAATGAGTGTTTACGAGTAATAATTTTCTGTTGAGATGGTAGCACTTATGGAGCACGATGTCGAAACATGCTCTATTAATTTCATCGTTGCTTGAGCAACCCTATAGCTTGTTTAGATTGAGTCTGTTTTGATGGTAAAAGTTGATTTCCGTGTGATTTGCATATTTAAGTAGTATTTTCATTTTAACAAATACCGATGTATTTTCACTGTCCTTTCTAACGATATCCTGGATCGTTGAAATCTGTCAGTCATTTAAACAAGACACGCAGTCATAACTTCACATGAACATTAGTGACGATTTCTTCACTTGTCACTCCCCCATAATTTCCGTATATGTCGTCATTACTAAATTCAATAATCAGCGAGCCACCGTTCGAAGTGAACATTACTCTAATGCGCGTTGCATTGTGCTGCAGTCATTTGTGGTCCATCACGACCGCCTCAGGCATGGTTCACATTGACCATGACATTGCCACATAATTTCTTTTTCGTTGACGCGCAAAGGTGCCTACTAGTTAAAAATCTTCAAATTCATCTTTTTATTTTATTTCTCTTTAAACTTCGTAGTGGTTTCTGTCATCTTGTTTTATTGTAAGTTTTTTATTTGCCAGTTGGACTATTTTTCTATCAATAATTCGAGTCTAGTAAATTTTGCAATTCAACCATTTCATATTTTCGCTACTCAAAAGATACATACTCGTAACAACGCAACTTTTGAATCATTCTATTCGATTTCTCTAAACGATCTTATTTCCTGCTTGAAATGTACCAAATTGATTAATATATTCGGCACTAACTACTCTTTACGTAAGTCGGCGAACAATGCTAGAAGATAGCGCCATCAAGTAAGGAAAAGAATGGTCATTGCTTCACTTATTTGTTTGCATCCGACTATTTCCTTGGGAGCAATGAAAGCGAATTTGCAGAAAGTAAAGAGCCTATTGTCCGCGGGCAAACCGAACCTTAAACAAAGACTCAAGTCTCAATTAATAGCTATTGTGATAACTATTTCATGTCTATTCGGGGTATTGTAATAGATATTTGCGTTATGCTTAGTTAACTTAGTATTTGTGTTTTAGACACGATTCAGTTTTCGATATCATCTCTTGCAAACATATTTATTACAACGGGTCACGAATTTACATTGACGGTGGTATTTGCGTAGAAAATTATTATAATACTTATATTTTACGCTGCAAGCTTCAACACTGAAATTGTTTTCAACGAATCAAGATGGAACATTGCATTAGTATCTCGTATTTAAAAGCATTCATTAAAAATACAATTTTGTCGAAACAATACTGAGTGTTGAAATTGGTTGATCCCTGAGATTTTTATGTATGATCTGCTTGTTCCCACACTGAATTCCCTTGTGACCAAAATAATAATAAACAATGTTATCATCTTAGGCCATGTCACCTAGCTGCTTTAATACAGGTTTAGAGGTCTTGATTCCTACGCTTTTTTCTTATTATGGAATACCTACACTGTTTGTTATAAAAATATATTGTTGAGAGTTAAAGTATAAAACTTTGACAATAAGCTACGTGAATTTTGAAACGTCAACATATTTTTTATAAATTATCCCATTCATAATTTCCAACTATTGATTTCACGTTGTATATGTAAACATACTATCAAAATTTCTGTTTTAACCCGCAAAGTAATCTTAAAGTACAATATAATTCATCATGGATGAACGTTTCCAATTAACTGTAGACGTAACAATGCTATAAGACAACAATGGAGATACGGCCATTCCGGTAATGATTAAAACTCCCAAAACAGATTTGCTGCAATCAATAAGAACAAGGATGATATTTCTTCTAAACCATTCGCATCCATCACAGGTAAATGGACAAACTTAGACGAATTATTAATTATTTATATTTATAAATACTTACAAATATTTAGAAAGCCAAGGTTAGAATCACTACAATCAGATTTTTTTTATAAATATATTATTCTGAAATCCATAAAATAATAAGTTATAAAGATATGACTATTGTACAAAATAGGAACACGTGTAAAAATACTATATACCTAATAATACTCTAATTTGATCGTGATGCAGCTACTGATTTTCTTCCAATTCATTTAATATTAAATTCCAAAACGTCTGATTGGTTCGTCAGTTTTTCGTAACTGTTCTAGATTAGTAAATTCCCATAAGCCGGATTCAAGATCTGATCGATGATATCGAATTACTCGATGTCTACCGTCGTTTGACGTCTTGATGCAAGACTGCAGAGTGCACTGATTATGTAACGACTTCATAAGTCTCGTTCGGTTTCGGTGCATCTACCTGACTTGCATTTTCGAGATCAGTTTTGGGTAACCGCGTTGTGAAAGTTGACCGATGTCTTCTTCTTCGTCTTTTATCTATAAATTTTTATCTCTGGAATTCTCATCTTGTGGAGATTGATTCTTTTCATCGTTGATTGTCTCGACATTGACTTTCAATTGCTGAGTCGGCATTATTCCTTATTTAAAAAAATATTTTTTGAATTTTTATAAGTACACATGGCACATTACACAACCAAAAAGAAAGCTGAATATACATAATATTTATTTACTACTAAATAATATATTTTAAATTCTTCGTGAAACTGCTCGTCATAGCACAATTGTTTTTTTTTTTCTACCTCTATTATCTATTATCGCATTAAGTTTATAAAAAGTTATTGACATTACTTTTTTTACTTTTCTGTCGGCGTGTGTTCTACTCAGGCTTCCATCCATCTTTTGTTTTGTTTGTTTGATCGACGATTGTCTTTTCATTACTAAGTGTTGCTCCGTTTTGTAACACTTAATTCGATAACATCTCGATACATTGATTAATCTATTGGTCCATCCGTCTGTTTGGACTACTTTCGTTGTGTATGTTTAATTAAAACTATAAAATGCTGGACGTTTTTCTCCATACTTCCTCTCTATTATAAATCGATTTGTCACGATCGATGTCTTTGACGGTTTCTTTCAGTGTTTATTTTGCTACTTGAGCGAATAGATTTAGTTAGATTTAGTTAGAATAGGGTTAGTTTAGTATTTTTCTTATAATTTTATGCAGATTTACCAATGTCACCACATTGTACTTTAAAACTTCAGTCGTAAGTTAATTATAAATTCTATTATTCTACCCGTTCAATTTCGTCTTTATGCGATTTTTATTTTGTGGTTTACTAATATTTTGTCAATAACTTTATGTTTTACTTGTTCCCAGTTATTCGATATGAAGAAATTCCAGTCAAATGTGAACAGAGAACTACGGAGGGCATATCCCGACCGCCGAAGGCTGGAGACGCAATGCCTTAGTGCAATAGCTTTCGTCAAGTCAGAAAGTGACTTGCTGGAGTGTCCCATCTGGGTAATGATCATCAACGTCGTGGCTATGGACATGCTCAAATCTAAACTGCCACCTGGTAAGAAATTTATTTATCTACAAAAAGATTTCTAAGATCATTTGGATCAATGTACGTTTGGGACACAACGAATAAATTTTAAACTTCTTAATCGAAATGTTAATAACAAAAAATATGCTTTTAATACTTACTCGTACTATTTCATTATACTAAAATATTTACAACAAGTGCAATGTGCTCGAATAGAGCACCTGTAACAAACAGGTCAATTTCACAATTTTGACTGTCTGTCTGACATATTGACCTTGTCTGCAATTTTATTTCGCACTATATTTTTAATGTTACTTGATCCAAATCAGTTTTTGCTTATCAAAAATAACTTTTTATATTTTAGAATTGAGAAATGCGTTTGATTACATACTTGTTAAGTAGTTGAATCGTTTGTACATTTTTTACGTACATAGTGTTTACTAAGTACTACCAACTAAAGCATTTTTACAAGTTACTACTACTAACTATTAAGTAAAATATGTAAACTTGCATGAGTGTACGTTGAAAGTTTTCTTATTATAATAGGCGAGTTACATGGAGCTGTATTGATTCCCTATTTTTTTACTTACATCAAGTCACGTTTTATCAACGAACGCTACCAATAACTCTTGAAATAACCTAACAAATAAACGAAACTGGTAACAAAATGAATCATTAGTTCTAATCCTTGAACTGTTTCCTAATAAATTAATTATGACAACTAAAAGCTTAGTTCAGTATCCGTGTCAAAGCTTCTAAAGCTATTGATTAGGAATGCTGTTCAGTACCTAGAAACCTGCAATAATTAATAGTGCAAGATTTTTTCTACACTATAAGAAAACATTAATGAAACAAAGAGATAAAAGTATTACTATTTATTACTATATATATTATTACTATAGGGTTCAATAAATTTTCCTGTCAGAAAAAGATGTGCACAAATTACTACAACTAAGGTTATTCTTTTTAAATAATGCCTGTACCCTGGTAGTGATGGATACACACATATTTAGTTCAGTGTTGTAAAAATATCTCTCCACAAACAATACAATTAGCCATAACCGCTTAACTTAGTACACGGTTTAGCATACACAGTTAAACTGTAAATGACGATACTGCGGTATGACTTAATGAGTACAGTACATAACTAGCAAATTTTGAGGATATTAAATTACTGCTTTTACAACATATAATGGCGCATGTAATGTGTTTAAGTAAAAAGTGACGTGCTAGTTTGTCACGATTGATTGCAATTTGAGCGAGTATGTGTGGTTCACTACCAAAGAAGAAGAACTGCTAATCGTATTTGGACAAAACTGTGAGGAAATGTCAAATCCATTTATAATTGGTTCATGAAACATGTTCTTTTGCACTGAACTTTATTAGACAATGGGCATAATTTGTCTTTATCGTAAGTCTAAATAAAAGAACTTACGATAACGTCGAGTGCAAATGCTACCACTTAATAATAGCTGCAGTCTTATTTATATTAGTAAGGAACTGGATCCGGCTTAGAAGTCGACCTTGGGCGTATGTACAATAAATAATTGTTGCTTTCTATGAGTGGGCTTGCTTGGCGACAATTTATTTGTGTCTTAATACCTTATACTAATGGTCATGTTCTACATTAACTATAAATCATTGTAAATGAGCAAATTTAATATTTGTTATGGCATTTGCATCGTTAAGTCTAGATAGTAATGTCTGAAATAAAACTTCATCCATTACTTGTAAGCAAAGTCGTAAGTACAAAATTCATTACGTTTATTATTGATCGTGTACATATCATCAAATATATATATATCAAATGTAATTCGCCAAAATAAAAAAAAGAAAATTCTCTTCGTGTCTACATTCAGCTCTTATAATTTTTCCCGTGCTCAAAGGAACCCTATTAGTAATTGAAAATCCAAATAATTAACATGTTGAATGCGTATAAACATTTAAATAAATCTTTTATTTTTACAAAAGTTACGTCTATTTCATTACTTCATTGTCATTACAAAAACCATTTCCGTACGAAAAACCAAACGACTAATAAATTTTATATCTGCTTTACAAAAACCATGCTATAATTTTCGCAATGTTCAACATACATTGAAGCGTTACTATAGAACTTCAAAAGTAAGCTCTATTGAACACAAAAAATGGAAATATAATAAATTTGCCTCGAATAAAATGGAGGCGTGTTTTTGCACAATAATCGATGGAATCCGATATCATCCTCAAGTTCAATGCAAACAAGTATTTAGACACGATTTATACAAATAGAATTAAAGATATTTAAGTACATTAAGTTTTTTTATTTTCAAAACACTTCATTAAACTAAATGATTGAGAGGTGTCGAAGATATTGTTAATAAAACGAATACATTTTCTTTCTTCTAATGTATAGCTAAGAATTAAAAATGTCTGTATATTTTGATACTAATTATTATTGATTTACACGAGCTTTTAATCACTTGTACACTGCAAATAATACACGTGTACGATTTTTTCACACGTATATGCGTAGTCGTTTGACTATGTTTATATGATGACGTATGATAGCAATCTGCCTCACAACTGTCTTTGTGTATAATCTAATATATGTAGGTTACAGTACACTTCCCTGTGGAACACTAAATCAAGCTGAGAATTTCATACGTCTTCGAAGAATTTTCTAAACGAAACATTTTTTTTTTATATAAAGATCTACAGGCTTTCGCAACACAGTACAATATATTTTTATCATCTAACCCGGCTTTATAATATCGAGAGAAGTTGACCTGCAAATTCCGTTAGCGGCGTTTAAATAATTTTCCCTCTGCGACTATGCGACTGTTCTCTACTCATCGACCCTGACTCCCATAACTTTCGGCTCTGTACAGGTTTTAACCAAATCCACAAATGTGTGTATAATATGTAATATAAAGTATATTTTACAACAAATAATCCGCTGATTAAGACGAAGAGTGCAATAGTTCAACGTGGCTCCGTGTTATCGGCATGTTCCTGGATTTCCTATAGCACGCCTACGGGCTGAAATGTCCAGAAGCTTTCGTCCACCTGGGCGCCCTCAGACCCGCTAAAATTGCCCGCTTATAATTATTAAGAAGATGCATGGATTGCCTTATGCTTTGTGGTTTAAGTATCCAAAGTAACTACATTTTCCCTAACAACTCTGTCAATTCTATGTTTTCGTAATAAATACTTTACAAAACATTGATTGCATTACTCACGTTATAACGTTAACAATAATATTATAGGGTTAAGAGCCTTCGCTCGCTCTTTTGACCAATAACAGTTTAGTCAACATCCGTTGTCTTCCTCTATCACGGTCATCTGTTGTTGTTACTGATAGTGTCATGGAACACCCTGCGGCATTTTGATAAAGGATATATTCCGAAGGACGGATCTCTAGAGGACGGATTTTTTTTCAACAACGATCACACGTTATGTTTGTTACAATATTTATTTTTATGTTATAAATGACGAAATTAACAAGTAGTCAGTAGCAGTGGCACACGGAGCTGCTAGGATCTGAGGTGCATTACAACTGCACCCGTCACCCTGAGACATGAAGTTGACACGATGCATGTGCCTGTAGTTTTACTACCACCCTTTAGAACCGGAACGATATTGAATCACTGTCTTCTAGGAGAGATTTTGCCTCCCCATGTCTGTTCTATCGCCTGTACAATGGCCAATGTTCTGAAGAACTGCTTGACATGATGCCAACAGCAACATTTTATCATCGCACCGCTCGCCACCGGCAGGGAGTCCATCCTCACGCTCTGGAACCGAGTCGATCTCGTACTGTATGGTTTCAGAGTAGCTATCTCCCACGTACAATTAGGTTGTGGAATGAAGTCCGTGTTGGGGGTTCCCGCAGGAACACAGCATGGAGTCCTTCAAAAGGAGTTTGAGAAGAGTCCTAAAGGGTTAACGCGCTCGTGACGCCGCTGGTGATGCATGCGTTCATTGGCGACAATGACCGCTTTCTATCAGGCGAGTCGTATGCTTATTTGCTACCTACATAATATAAAAAAGTGATAAGCCTCGCATTACTACTTGGCGGCAGAAGGAGGTATTTATAAGGACTTTTCTCTGGAGGGACTCTTTCACATGGAGCTGTACTGGTACTAAAATATTCATAAATAGCATAAACCTTTTCAATAATTAGATGCGGCGATCCAGCAAGCTATATTCGTACCACAGAAACCACAACTTCTTCATTACATGCAGCAAAAACTAAAATCAGGAAATAATTTTGCCCAGCGCATATCATTAGTTTCTACCAATTAATAATAAAATTAAATTAGGTTACGTGTTTGTTACGTTATATATACTACATAAATACGTATATTATAGTGGTACCGATTGTACAGTTGCAATGCAAAATAAGCATATGTACTACATGTCACGAAATTAAAATTCTATTTTCATTTGACGACCACCGTGGTCGAGTGGTTTGTACACCGGTTTTCATGGTGTCATCTCTGAGGTGACATCTCTGAGGGTCCCGTATTCGATCCCCGACCGGGTTAATGTTGAAAAAATAACTTTTCTATATTGTCTCGGGTCTGGGTGTTTGTGGTACCGTCGTTGTTTTCGATTTCCATAACGCAAGTGCTTTAATTACTTACTTTGGGTTCAGAGCAACGTATGTGATGTCGTTTAATATTTATTTATAGAGAAATGTGAAAAATAAACCAACTAATCGATAAACATGGAGATTCATGAAGATTTTCATTTTTATTTCGTGTCGTTTCGCGTATAATATGTGTATATTACTACAGACAAATGTAACTGTAGCACTTAAGTAGTAACGCAATTACGTAGTCATGGGAAATATCACTTTTTCAATTTTATACACTCATCCATCGATCTAACGACAACATACACATCCCACTCCTGCGCACTGGTCTTCTCTAAAGCTAAAAAACTCATAAATCGCCTTTGGTCTGTGCGCTGCAGTGAGGTGTATATGCCTTGTAGGATTGCATAATAGGCTACTGCAATACGCATCCCGCAACTGCTCTTTCGTA